GAGTCTCGTGAGTAATGACGTATTTTACACCACCAGTCTCGTGAGTAATGACGTATTTTACACCATGAGTTTCGTGATTAGTCATGTATTTTACACCTATCACAGTTCGATGCGGAGAGCCTGAGACACGGCCTTTTACTGATAATTTGGTCAGATGTTTATTGTCCCCCCACGTGGAATGAGGGAGGGAATTGGAAACGCCATCCATCAGTTGTTCTGTGAATGAAACTTAAAAAATAAGTATTGTGCCAACGTCCATTTTGATGTGTGACTGTATCTAGGAAAGATTGGATCCTTCAAAAATTGGGATACCACGTCAAAATCCAAGATGGTCACCATATATGTATGTAAACCAGACACCTCAATTATTTGAGGAAACTATGTTTTCTATTTTTTATATATGGGGTGGCTGAAGATTAATCTATGGGGTTAAGGCCACCATTGGCCACCCCCTGGCTCCACCACTGCACCTGGTGTTGGATATAAATGCTCCCTCCACTCACTTTGTGCTGCCTCAGACAAAAAAAAAACAACTACCTCTGTTGTTCACAGTGTGACTCCGCCCACTTGAATATCTTCCAAAAACATTTAGGTTTTGAATTGGGATTACAGAAATGGCTCTAAAATTGTATAAATCATGTTTATTTGATAGATTCCAGTTTGTAAATGAAAATAATGAATCTTTGTCTTGCACAAAGTTACGGAGTTCCTCAAGGTTCAGTGCTTGGACGAATACTCTTAACCTTGTATATGCTTTCATTAGGTAATGTTATTAAATGTGATGAATTTTCATCGTTATGCTGATGATACACAGTTATATTTGTCCATGAAACCCAATGAATCCAATCAGCTACTTAGACTACAAGCATGTCTTAAAGACATAAAAACCTGGATGACCCTTAACTTTCTCCTTTTGAACACAGACAAGACTGAGGTTTTAGTTTTTGGACCTGAGCATCTTAGGAATGAATGTTTCAGTCTTTCACTTTCTTTGGATGGCATTAATTTGGCCTCCAATTTTAAAGTTAAAATCCTTAAAAAACCTAATTAAAAGCTACAAACATTCACTATTCAGAGCCCTCAGTGACGGGGACCTCAGCGTACTGCTTGTTTGATATCGAACTCACTTATTTGATGCCCAGATTTGAGCTAAATCGTAGTTTCATAACTGTATCTGTTGTTGAGGTGAGTCACTGACAGTCTGTGATTGGCCTGCTTAGATGTTTCACCTCTGCCTCCTTCAGAGTTCATCTCAGGAGCCCAGGTTGTGTCTCAGAGAGATCTATCAAAACAAGCAAAAAGAAGATAAACGAACCGACTGGGATAAATCTGTTGCTTCCAGTCCTTCATCTCCACAGGTAAGTTACTTGATTTGTACATCAACAAGCTGTTAAAGACATTTGTGGACCTTAGGCCTAGTTCAGACCTGGCTCTACTGTTGATTTTCCATTGTCTCACCATGATCTTTGACTTTACCTGGGTCTGCATGGTCTTGGTGGTTTTCCATATAACTTGAGTGCTGCCTCGATGTTGGAAGGATCATCTTAGTGAAACTTCCCTGCCAATATTTTTAAGACAAACTTAACACAGCAATGGGCAAATAAACAAAATAAAATTACAAAACATTCTGTCCTGTGTCATGGCTTCCAAAATTGTCGTGGCTGAATTGAGGCCATCTGTAAATCCAACCCTTTTGTTCTAGTGGTCGGCCAGCTTCTTTTCACTGAACCACAGTACAGTATGGGGGTGGGAGGGCTGATTGGTAGGCAGGGTGCTCGGTTCTGTTGACAGGGTGGGGTGCCCTGCATCCATAACAGTAGGAGAATCACTGGGTTGAGTATGACATACCAAAACAAAAGTCCAAAACACGTGGACGGGTGGATGGAGGCAAAATAAAACAGGAAAATTAATGCTCTCTGTTGCTGTGATGCACGTTACACGTCAGTTAACAATGCACGTTACACGCCAGGTAACGATGCACTTTACACGCCAGGTAACGATGCACGTTACACGCCAGGTAACGATGCACGTCAGTTAACGATGCACGTTGCACGTCAGTTAATGATGCACGTTAGTTAACGATGCACGTTAAACGTCAGTTAACGATGTACGTTACACGCTGGGTAACGATGCACGTTGCACACCAGGTAATGGTGTACGTTGCACGCCAGGTAATAATGCACGTTGCACATCAGGTAATGCTGCACGTTACACATCAGATGCACATTACATGCCAGGTAACGATGCACCTTACACATCAGGTAATGCTGCACATTACACGTCAGGTAATAATGCATGTTACACATCAGGTAACGATGCATGTTACATGTCAGGTAATGCTGCACGTTACACATCAGGTAATGATGCA